ATTTATAAACTAATGAAACTAGAAAAAGCAAAGCGTGTGACACTATAATTARACAGCTGGAAGACATCCAAGCCTGTGTAAGTTGATAACCCTGGTACAATCTCTGGCAGAGGAAAGGCAGGCCTGCAGTGAGTTGATATGGCCAGCTCAGTTGTTAATTGAATAACAGGCAATCTATAAACACTACTAATTGCACATGTGAAAACCTGTGTACAAGTAGAGAAGCTGCCTAGAAAAGCACTCCAGAAAAACTACATGGATAAAGCACTCGGCAAATCTTCTGTCTCTCTCAATCCAGTTAAGTCATAGCTTAGTCTCACCACTGCATCCTTCTGATTAACCTCTACACAGCAGACTTAATGATACATTTTTCAAAAGATCATTTTTCTTCCTAACTCAATACGAACTGCAGAACTATCAATTACCCGTTTCAGAAAAGAACAAACAAGTAATCTAGAAAATTCAGCCTGTGAATGGAAGGCTTTCTAAATTGTAAAAGAAGACATGGTCTTATTCCCAACAGGCAAAACGCTTTGCAGAATTGTTCTGTCGCATTTTGCAGAAGTGTGGCAGCTGCTGTGAACAGCATGGAGTGTTAAGATTTGACACTTTTTTTTTTTCTCTTAAGGATATAGCCATTTGGGGAGGCTCAGAAACTGTTGTCAGAATTTTACTTATCCATTTAATAAATCCTTTTAGAATGATTATTTCAAACCTGGTGAATGCAAACCATTTCAAAGTCAGGACCTAAACCAAACTTCTGATTTTTAAATCTTTGGAGAAGACTGGTTTGCCCAAGGGAATAGTTATAAGATATAAAACCTCTCTAGTTTAACATTCAAACCCAAATAAGGCCATAGAGAACAAAGGTCCCTATCATTCTAGAGGAGTCCAATGGTTTCCATTAAATGAATTCACAGACTTAATCTACTCCCTAGTAGATGTGTCACATCATGAAATTCAGAACTACTAATCAGAATACTATGCAGTATTTAGAAGAGCATATTAGCAAGAGACTTATGCTCATGTTGAGGCTCTAAAACTAGCTATACAAAGAAAACAATGTCTCTGGGCCTCAGTTTCTTTAACCATTGTGGGACTTGGAAAATATACACCATAAGGTTGTTAATAAGGAACAAAGGAATAATATAGGCAATATGTTTGCTTAGCAGAGTGTCTTGCATAAGACACACTGAATAATAGCACAGTCTTAAAAATAAAACATACAAATGCAAATATTAAAATATGTGTAGAAACTGCATGTAATCAAATGACTGAATGGTGCCTGAAGCTGTGTTTCTTTCTCACATCTCATTAGTATAGATGAGAATTGCAGGTTTCACTGAGATTCCTGGTGAAAATATACAAATGTGTCATCTTAAGACATGGACGTAAGTCAGCTAAGTGACACTTTTTATCAAGATAAAGTGGAATTCCTCAAATATGAGGCCATCCGTGAACTAGAATAAGGAAAAAAAGGCTACAAAGAATCACTGTCAATTAATTTTTTAAAAAAGGCATAGAACCACTGTCAATTATATTTTTTAAAGCATAGGTTTATATATAGTGAAGATGTGATAGGAGGTACACACAGGGAAACAAGTGACATCTGTAACAGAGCTGTTACCTCTGCTTTCACCCTGGATATTTGCTACCCGGAAGACTCTGACTCTCAAGATGTCCCAGGCTGCCAGGAAAAACATCTGATATGTAATTTTTAAGTAATAATTTTAACCTCTTTWTCAAATATCAGAATTAACAATAATTCTTTGTTAGTTTCACCCATTCCCTGACTACCAAAAGATATGTTAATTGAAGAGCAGTCTATGAACTAACCAGGTAATCCAAGTCTTCTCTCTATCTATGGACAGATTCAAAATCCTTCAGTCCCCATCAGAGCCTGAGGCTCACTCCTCCAGTGGAGATGCCCACCACACATGGGCACAGTGGCCTCCAGGACCCCACTGCATCCAGGATATCCAGCTTCTCAGCTGTGTAAGCAGTTAGGTTGCACATCCTTACTGCACTTGAACTTTAAGACTTGGGAATTAATCTTATATTTTCTTGATTAATTAATATTAACTGAGTTAATATTAATTTATATTTTCTCTAACAATCTAAACTTACTGATCTTAAGACCCAGATAGAAACCTACTTTAAACAACAATTATACACAGCTTAATATACAATAAAGTAGAATTGATTATCAATAATAAATGCACTGAATCAGATACAACTGTACCCAAATGTTGAAGCTCCTCCAAAACTTTCAAAGTAAATATAAAGTATCAATATAAAATTGCAAAGTGGTTTGAATATTTAAATATGCATGTTAAACAAGGCATAACTACTTCTCAAATAAGAGAGAGAGAGAGAGAGAGAGAGAGAGAGAGAGAGAGAAAGTATAAACATTAGCCATGCATGCAGGGCATGATGCACAAACCTGTCATCCCAGTTACTAGGGAGGCTGAGGAAAGTGGATGGCAAGTTCAAATTCAGCCTGGTTAACATAATGAGACCCCATATAAAAAAACATTATCCATGTAGATTTCAATATATTTATATTATTATTGCAAATATATAAAAAGACTCTATTCAGAGTGAAATTATATCCGTTATTTTCGAGTAGAAGCAACTAAGTTATACTGTATGGATTAATTGATTAAAGTAAAGTAAGAGAGCAACCTGAACCATGTTTCAAAGCTGTTTGTTTTGTTTGTAAATATGAGAAAACACACACACACACACACACACACACACACACACACACACACAATCCTTTAAGGAGAAAGGATTTACAGATGCCAATGAGTTGCATCCATACTAAAATGGTGGCCGCATGTCCTTCAATAAAGCCAGCATTATAAAATAGCTAATATAAATACATGGACTATTTTTCCAAAATGTTAAACCATCTGCTTTAATATAGGAAAAATTTTTAAGCTGTTACCAATATCAAAATCCCAGAAGCATCTATAACTGACTTTTTAAATTTAAAACTATCATGAGTAACATGTCAGCAAGATAATAAAGCTTTGTAGTTAAAAAAAAAAAAAAGGATCCTTATCCTGAAGGAGCTCCAAGTGAGAATACATCTTGGACTATTGCAATAATCATGTTGTGATATAGTAGCACTGTGACCCATGAGAAGAGAGAGGTGTTTGGGTTTTTTTTTTTTTTTTTTTTGGTTGTTGTTTTTGTTTTTTCTTTTTTTTTGGTACTTGGGATTAAGCCCAGGGTCACTTTACCACTGAGCTACATTTCCAGCACCACAACCCTGCTTTCTATTTTGAGACAGGTTCTCTCTATGTTGCAAAGGGCCTCACTAAAAGTTAGCCAGGCATGGGCTGCTGTGCCTAGCAGGGGGTGGTTTCTGAAGTGTGAATATTTTGCTAAGATGAAGAGTTACCATAGAGGACACCCCTGAATATGACTGAACTGAAACAAGACATGTGGATTTGAAGGGTAAATGGTGAGCCTAGTAACTGAGACTGGAAATACAGAAGGATAATGTTGGGGAATTTTTGAAATTACCCTGGAAAAATAATAGACATTATACAAAATCATTGGACTAAAAGCTTTGACAACCAAGTTAAATACCCAGGTAAGAACTGGAAAGATGTAAACTTTGGCTTCGCTGTACTTTCCACACAGTAACAGATTCCTCTGATTTAAATATGGTTTGTTCTCCAAAAGTTCATGCTGGAAGCTTGGTCCCCACTGTAACAGTATTGGAAGGTGGTGGGAACTCTAAGAGGTGGGCCCAATGGAAGATGGCTGCATTATGACCACCCTTGACCCAGTGGAAGATGGCAGCATTGTGACCACCCTTATGAAAGAATTTAATGTCAGTATCATAGAGTGGATTAGCTCTCTCCAGGAGAGCTCCCAAGAGAAAGTTGTCATAAAAGAGCAAGACTGGATCCTCCCTATTTTCTTGCTTCCTCTCCTATTCTCCCTTTTTCTGTCCCTTCTCCTGCTTTGTCATCTGTACTCTACTATGGGATTCTATCTATCTTGTGGTGAGATAGTCAGGAGATAGTCACCAGAGGCCAAACAGATGGGATGGCCCCATCTTGGACTTCATGCTTCCAAAACTGTGAGCTAAATAAATCTTTTTTTTTTTCCTCTTAATGAAAGCATCCAGTCTTGTTGAGGGCCACAGACAAGTCAAGATGGCGCCTGGCACTTTGCCAGAAGGAGTGGTTTGAGAAGTAATGCCAGTGAGCCATTAAGATGATGGAGATTCCTTAATGACTGACTGCTGTATCCAATGATGTTAATTAAGTTAAGCTGTGTATAATTATGAAGATGATGAGGATTCCTTAATGACTGATTGCTGTAACTGGATGATGCTAAATTGAGTTAAGCTGTGTATTCAGTAATGTATATATACCTCTACTGTCCTACAATAAAGCGGCTCCCACTGTATCAACCTTCACAAGTTGCCTGTCACCACCACCCCMCCCCTCCCCTCCCCCMCCCCCCCCCCCCGTTACTTTGCCCAGCCAGACTGCGGCATAGTCTCAGCTATTTTGTTATAGCAACACAAAATAAACTAAAATACAAACCATAAAGCTTATTAGAACATGTACTTGTACCTTTTCATTTCTTTGCTTAATTATTTCCTATGGATATCCTATTTCTAAAATCAGACTTCCCAAGCTATAGAACTAAACAGTGATTCAAACACTGCTGGACTGTTCTGGAAATGTATGCGCATTTAAACTAGAGTGGGGCACTCCCTTCTTGCTATTAGAATGTTTCAGAAATGAACTGCATGGGTTTTTAGTGAATGCAGAAAGCAGAGAAGAAAAGGCAATTGTTTTTTATTATGTGACAATTTGGTCCTCATAAATCTTGTAGAAGAAGTAGGCAGCAAGTTGGGTTATAATAGGCCAGGGGTGAAGATGAGTCAGTCAGGAGACAAGGCAATTCCAGTGAAAGCTGGAAAGCTTTCAGAGCTATCAAAGAGAGGTCAAACTTAAAGAAACACATACCTTCAACATCACAACTCAGGTAGTTACGCACTTCATTCAAAATGAAGTTGATATCTTCTTCTGAAGGTATAGGGTGCTGTGTGATATCAGTTGGCGTATCAGTAGTGCCAGCAATAGTCATCTTTTGCCAGGGTAAGAAGAAAATAACTCGCCCATCACTGGTGGCTGGGTCAAGAAGTCCCATGCTCTCTGGGCTAAGGTAAAAAGAAATTAGCAGAAGCTTTATATTACTGTCTTCTATAAAAATGATTTCAATTACTAATGTTCAAATAAGCCAACAAAACACGAACTATTACTTGTACTGCCCTACTCCAGAAATTCCTAGAAGGAAAAAAATAATATATGAGTAACAAAAAAGTACCAAGCAAATGTAATAATCCTCTTCTGCAGCAGAACAGCGCTCCCCACCTCAACAATGCAAGGTTAATTAACTTCCAATTGTTTTGGTTTTTATACTCCATGGATCATTCACATCAGATAATGTCAGTGGGATAAATGCCTATAATTTCTTTTATTATGGTCAATTAAGAATAGCTCTTCAACCTTTTTTCGAGTCTGTGAAAAGTATTTTACTGGGACATTTGACATTTGGCACATCTTTCAGTAGAAGGTCTCAGAAGAACATAAGAAAGTGAAGAATCTAAGTTTCTAGAAACTAAAATGTAATCATCAAGTTCTTCACTCCTTTGTGCCTAGATGAACTTGTGCCACTTCACCAAATATAAGATTTCTTACCTTATTTCAAGGTTACAGAAATCTCAAGAAGTGCTCACAGAAGAAAAGAGCTCAGCTTTCTACTAATAACTAAAAATGTCCTAGGATAGGTCAAAGGGAGAGGAACACCTTAGCAATGAAAATCTTTTAAATAGAAAACACTGTTATGCCATTAAATCAGGGTCCAGGCCTGCCTCTTCAGACAGATTGTAGAAAATCTTCCCAAATATTAAAGAAAATTTTTCACTAAAATATTCTGAATTATCTAAAAACCAATTATAGAACATATTTGAAAGAATGGGCAACTGTAAATAAATATTAACAAAACCCATTGAATTTATCACTACAAACTGTTGTTTTAATGCATTCATTAGCCATTCAAAGAAATATGGAGAAGTTAAGGTTTTAAAGCATCATATTCAAACAGAACAGTAGTTCAATTCAGATACCTGGTTCAATTTGACTGAATTCTTATATAAAACCAGTGTTAAAGTATTTCATTTAACATTTTTAGCTTATAGTAATGCGATTTCTTAAAAAAGGAAACAATTTTACTTGATTTGAGCCAATATCAAGATATCCCTCACACACACAAATTTAAAAGGCAATACAGTCAATTCTTTATTTTTACAATTTCTTTAAAAATTGTTTTAAAAGATTGATTCAAATGTTTAATAATGAGATGCTAACAACTGTTTAAAAACAAATAAAAAACATTTTTAGTACATAAATGAAGTTGCCAGGTACACTGTCACATACTCAGGAGGCTGAGACAGGAGAAACACAAGTTCAAGGCCAGCCTCAGCAACTTAGCAAGTTCCTGTCCCAAAATAAAAAAGGCTAGGGATATAGCTCAGTGGTAGAGTGCCTCTGGCAGGGGGAAAAAAAAAGAAAGAAAGAATGAAAGAAAAAAATATCTACAGTCAGCATAGCTAAATGTATCTCCTTTATTTAACTACAAAGAATACTAATCTTTCAGGCAAGGAACCCTCAAGCCCATAAAAACCTGTCATATCTCCTCTGTCTTTGCATCACTACCAAGAGCTTATCCTACAAGGCACAGTAGAGAATGGACACAGAACTGTGGAACCAACCCAGATGCCCTTCAATAGATGAATGGATAAAAAAAAATGTGGAATTTATACACAATGGAATATTACTCAGCACTAAAAAATAACAAAATCATGGCATTTGCAGGGAAATGGATGGCATTAGAGCAGATTATGCTGAGTGAAGCTAGCCAATCCCTAAGGAGCAATTGCCGAATGTCTTCTTTGATATTAGGGGGTTGACTCAAAACAGAGCAAGGAGGAAGAGCATGAGAAGAAGATTACCATTAAATACTGTTGAGAGAATCATGGGAATGGGAGAGAGAAGAGGAATTGCACTGAAGATGGAAGGAGACCCTCATTGTTATGCAAAATTACATAAAAGATGATGTGAGGGGGAAAAAGAGAGAGAGAGAAAAATGTCATAGTAGAGTGGGTAGAGAAAGGTGATGGGAGGGGAGGGGGGAGGGGAGGGGGATAGGAAGGGTAGCAGAATACAATAGACACTAGTATGGCTGTATATATAAACGTGGCTGTAAAACCAATGTGATACTGCAATCTGTACACGTGGAAAAATAAGAATTCATACCCCATTTGAATCAAATGTATGATGTCAAGATCATTGTAATGTTTTGAGCATCTAATTAAAAAAAAGAAAGAAAATTTAAGAGTGAGAAGAAAAAAAGAGAGAGAGAGAATGGACACAAATCTTCCACTTTGGAAATCCAAACAGCACCAAAGAAGTGTGCCAATCATTTAGAACTTCAGCAAAGATTCTCACCTTCACTCAATGTTACTTGGAGGAAACTACTTTCACTTAAATATATAAAAAACTTTGAATATTGAGTATTTTTGAACTCTAAATATGACTATACCCTTTTTTCTTTGTATTTATTATAAAACTCTAAAAATCTTAAACATAGTTAATCACAAGTATTATAGGTACCTATTTTGATCATGAGTGATATATCCTTAAGTAAATAAATTACTTTGAGATTGGTAATTAACACATTCAGAGATCAAGCAATTAATTTTGTAAACAGTACATAATTGAAGAAAAATAATAAATTTCATACTCCAACATTTGAGAAATAAATTATATGCTGATATAATTTAGGTGCAACCATCTCATGGACCAATAACATAGATACCTAAAATAATGAACCAGAAAAACTTAAATAATTCTAATATTCAACAACCTAGATAAGAAATGCAGTTAGCAAAGCACAGCTACTGAATCCTTTAAAAAATTCAGTGCAATAAAAGCAGTTTAAAGGGTGAAGGTGATGGTTACCAACACACACGTAACTGGAACCTGTAGAGAATCAACTGCTTAAGTGAAGACATATGTGTCAAACATAAAATTAATAAGCACAAAGGGAAGACAAAGCTATTAATGAATGGTATAAAAATTTAAGAATCCACTTGGAAATATCTTTCATTAGTTTTAAATTACCTAATTCATACTCTCCCTTAGGGAAGAAAAGTTTGTTTTCCTATGAAGGATTAATTCTGCAAGGTCACACTAAAGTTCGATAACGGTATCAACTATAGTAATGGTACATACAATGCAGTGTGGCACAGGTCTCGTTTCAATTTGAATGATTCATTTGACATCAGAGGGAAAAGCTAGCTAATTTATGTGTGTGTCGAGGATTAAAGGTAATGAACATTTTTCTCTTGCAGACCATTGCTTTCCTGAAGTACCTTTAGTTAAACTGAAATCAATTTATTGTTAACTACTTAGCAATCAGTGTTAGAGCTAACGGTATGTACACAATATGCAAAAAAAATTGATCTGTTGTCAGCAGGAAAAAGATTCAGTAGGAAGAAGGGGGAGATTATTTTTATGTATTTTAGTAATTTGGTATATTATCGCTGCTTTGGGAAGAGCACCTAGCCACAATTCTGATGGAAATTACAGATTTATTCTTTATATAACTTAAAGAGTGCTTTTAAGAAACTGATCTCTGTATTATGGATTTTTCTGAAATTGAAACAATTCCTCCTGCCTCCCCCTGCCAAAAAAAAAAAAAAAGAAAGCTATTACCAAAATGCAATATAATTCTACATGTAAAACATTAGTTAAGGTTAAAACAAAATTTACAAATGACACAAAGATGCTTTGGAAAATGGCCTGACAAGATACACAGCACAGCCTTCATTCTTGATTTACCATCCTATACTAGATAAATCAATGGCTACTAAACTCTGAAATGCCAAACTAATCAGGCTGCAACTGCCACTCTGGGTCTTAAGTTCTCCTCAGCCCGGTGCAGGGCAGCCCTAGAAGGTTCATACCAGCTCTGGTTCGTCCTTGCAGACCTGGTCAGAACCTCAAGTCACAACTGTTGAGCGTGACTGACTGATGAGGCCAGAGACTCATTTCAGTCTGAGATCTTCTGACCCCACCCAAGAGAATGATTTGATGGGGAGAGGAAAATCAATCCTGAGGTACGCCAGAGCTGTCCTTGTCTCAAGGTCATCGATTAAAAAAAAAAAAGGAAAAAACCCTTACTCCAGGCCACAGTCCACAGCTAAGAGACTCATCTGCAACAGAGCCAGAATGGGAGCCAGGCTGTGGACCACTCCTCAGCAACACCATATACAGTGGCTGTAGTTCACAGTGCTACCAATAAAAATACTATTTTTTCTCAAGAAAAATCATTTACTACATTTTGGACCAAAACAGACTTAGCTGTGATCTAACACTTTAATGATCTATGGAGAGGGGTTCTAAGGCTAATGCTAAATTTTTAGGATTAAAAGGTCTTTTTGTTTTGAAAATATTATATCCAGGTGATATATATGTACATATTTCTTATTTAAAAACTTATCTATTTTGTTATAAAATATACAAGACACACTATAGAACAATATCTATCATGTGACCACTCTACTGCAAATTTTGTAACAGGACAAACATGTGTAAGTAAAAGCATACACTTTTATGTAAAGAACTTAAAGAAGATTACTGACTTTCAGAAAACTGAATGAAGCCAGGAAAAGGTTTTCACTGTCTCTCTCCTTTCCAGAATGATAGAAATCTCTGATTAATCACTTATGTTCATTTTACTTATTTATTTTTGTCTACAGGGATTATCTGGGAATTAAGATGAAGAATTGTATTTTGTTCCCATATTAAAAAAGACCTTTATAACTGTTGCATTAGTCAGTGCTCCATCACTATTAAAGATACCTGAGATAATCAACTTATAAAGAGAAAAGTTTATTTTGGCTCACAGTTCTGGAGGTTCCAGTTCATTAGCAGCAGACACTGTGGCTGGGACAAGGCAGCACATCATGAGATAAACAAGTGGCAGAGTATAATCACTCACATCATGGCCAGGGTTCAAAAGAGAGTGAGAGAAATTGGCCAGAATCCCCCAAATCCCTTCAAATTCATGGCCCTCCAATGACCTAAAGACTTTTCATTAGGCCACCCCTTAAAGTTTCCACCACCTCCTGTTAGTGCCACACTGGACCAAGCTTTTAACACATGAGTCTTTGGGGGACATTCCTGATCCAAAATGTAACAAATGTTATATTAACATTTTAATATAAAAAAGCAACTATCTCAACTTGAGCAAGTGGATTAAAAAAAGTTAGGATTCATTCAAAAATTAGTTATTGCAGAACTAAAGATATAGCTCAGTGGTAGAATATTTGCTCAAAATGTGCAAGGGCCTTGATTAAATCACCAGCATGGTATGGGGGGGGGGAAATATGGGCATTATTATAAACTAGAAACTACCAAGATTTGAGGAAATAGCAATCAACAAAACAGATAAAAATTAATCAAAGATCATTGTCCAAAAAAATCTTAGCTGGGTGTGTTGGCGCACTCCTGTAATCCCAGCGGCTCAGGAGGCTGAGGCAGGAGCATAGGGAGTTCAAAGCCAGCTGCAGCAAAAGCAAGGCACTAAGCACCTCAGTGAGAGCCTGTCTCTAAATAAAAATAGAGCTGGGAATGTGGCTCAGTGATTGAGTACCCCTCAGTGCAATCCCTGGTACCCGCATCTCCCCGTTAAAAAAAACCCTGAGATCTTTTTAAAAAGCTGGATGTGTATTCCCAGCAGCTTGGGAGGATCACAAATTCAAAACCAGCCTCAGCAACTTAGGAAAGCCATAAGTGACTTAGTAAGACCTTGTCTCAAAAAAATAAAACAGGGTATGAATGTGGCTTGCTGCTTAAGCACCTCTTACAATCCCTGGTACCAGGAAAAGAAATCATTATCAGATTTAATAGAAGTTAGATACTATATGAAATAACGAATCAGAAGCAGAAAGGAATACCTTACCCAAGGTCACACAATTAGTAGAAGAGAAGGTGAACAAACCAGGAAGTTCTATGCCAAGGTCTGATTTTGGCTTAACTCTTGTCCTGTCTCCTTGTCTATGTACTCTGAAATAACTGATTGCTTTCCTATCTTAATGGTGCATTTACAAAAGTAAATGGTTTGTCCCAAAGAATGCAGTAATTATGTGACAGAATTAACCTAAGACCTCTGGGGAATAATAAGTAATAAAATGTCTTCTGACATCATGGGACAATAGTGAAGAAAACATAAGACAAAATATGCATAAGAATATGTTGAATTTAGTAAATCTAAACAAATACAAGAATTTTGATAATTACACCTATATTCACTGTTCTTACAGATGTTAAAAACTCTCATAAACTAGCAGGCCATGAATATTTTTAATTCAACACAAAAATGACTGTATATAATTGCATCTGAAACTATTTTAAAACTCAATTAGGTACCGACTCATACATTTTTATTATCAAAATTAGAGCTACATTGGTGTTTCCAGGTTTGAAAATGCATAGGAAACTTTGGAATTTGGGAGATAAGTTCTCTTGAATACATTTTGAGTAGAAGTGTATTTGGTATGGCTGGGCAGGGTGGTGCATGCCTGTAATCCCAGTGGCTTGGAAGGCTGAGGCAGGAAGATTTCGATTTCAAAGCCACCTCAGTCAACAAAGGTGAGGCACTAAGCAACTCAGTGAGACCCTGTCTCTCAATAAAATAAAAAATAGAGCTATGGATGTGGCTCAGTGGTCAAGTGCCTCTGCACCCCATTGCAAAAAAAAAAAAAAAAAAAAGTGTATTTGGTACAAATTAGGTGTCTCTTATATTGTCTTCAGAAAGAGTTGATTACTGGAGAGCCAATAATGAATAAGGTAGCATCATCTATAACATAGCGGGATAGCATTTCTAGGAGAATACCAAGTATCTAATTTTTGCACATCTATTTTATTTCATATTAAAAGCCTTGGGCTGTAGGTTGTGGCTCAGTGGTAGAACCCTTGCCTAGCATGTGTGAGGCACTGGGTTCAACTCTCAGCACTGCATGTAAATAAATAAATAAAATAAAGATCCATCAACAACTAATAAAAATATTCTTTAAAAAAAAGAGCCTTATGAAGGCAAGGCATGATGGCACATACCTGTAATCCCATCAATTTAAGAGGCTGAGACAAGAGGATTACAAGTTTAAGGCCACTCTCAGCAAGTTAGCAAGGCCCTAAATTACTTAGTGAGACCCTGTCTCAAAATTAAAAATTAAAAAAGTGGGGCCCTGCAGATGTAGCTCAGAGGTAAAGTTCCACTGGGTTCAATCCCCAGTTTACAAAAAAAAAAAAAAAAAGCTTATGTTTCTTTATGAAAAATTAGAACCATGTGGAAGGAAATAACCCTCACCTGTAATCACATTACAGATAAAACCATTAATATTTAACATATTTTCCAGTCTTTTTCTATCTGTAGAAAACATGTAGAAATATAGATCCTATTACATATATTGATCGTCTCTACTCTTGCAATTTAAACTAACATTGTATTATTAGCATTTTCCTAGGACAATATGAATTCAAATTTAAACTAACATTGTATTATTAGCATTTTCCTAGGACAACTGAAGTTATTTATAATTTTAATTCTTATTGACTACATAATATTCCCTTGTCTAGATAGGCCATAATCTATTTTCTCCTGAGGTGAGGAAATGAAGTGGTTTCTAATCTTTTTTAAGAACAAATTATGACATAATATCTTTGCATATAATTCATTATTTCATGTAGAATTACTATTTGCCTACTCGATTTAACACATATGGAATTAATAACAGCATATAAATTCTGTATTCTTGGTACAGTCATATGACTTTTGCCACAGATGTCTTAAAATATACATTAGGATTAATCATTATTAATAATTTGACAAGAAATACATACATATTTCTTCTAAATTTTCAAAAACATACAAAAGTTGGAGTTTTTATGGTTTCCTGTGTACCCATCACCCCACTTAAATGAGATTCAATTAATAGCAATACTTCATCTCTACCCCTACTCACTTTTCCATCCCTACTTATCTTTGCTAATTTGATATTCTGAACATTATATCTGAGTTTTAAAAACATATTTATAAAGTTACAAACTGAAGAATACCTAAGAGGCTAATATTTCCAACTTGCTTATAAGAATAAATATTTGACAAAATTAATTTTTTAATGATTTAATTAAAACATCCTTTATGGAAGTTTGATGAGATTAAATTTTAATATCCTATTAAGAATAGAATTTAAAATACCAACATTTAATCTCTAAAAGTGACTATAATGAACAAAATACACTGTAAAAAAAAAATAGATCCCCATTAGACTTTAAGATTTTCCCCAGTCTGGTTTATATTTTGTGTTAGAAGAGTTCCATCATTTTCTCCTCATTTAGAACAGCAAGTTAGGCCATCTATTATTAAGAAGAGTGTACCAGAAGAAATTAAATGCATAGGGAATCGCTTGTGCCCTTTCCCAGGTGAGGAACAACAAGATGGAGTACAGTTACCTGTAGTAACCAGGCATCACAATATGGACACCAGCACTTGGCTGGCAGATAGCCGCAGCGTTCTTATCATCCATTTTGCGCACAGAGTCTGTGAAAGGTCCCGTAGCATTGATAACACATTTGGCTCTCACATCAAATTCCTGCCCTGTGAAAGAAAGCAGCATCAATCACACACCCCATTTGTTTCTCTGTTCACTGATGCTGTGGATTATTAATTCATCTATTAACTTAACCTATGGCGAAGTATATTGCATACCACACTAAGTGACATGAGCAGCCAGAGTTATTGAAGAGCCAAACAAAAGACTCACTCCTGAGTAAATTTACCAAAAACAAGTCCAAATTAAAGAGAAAGCATGCCATTTTTTCATTGTGGTGCTCAGTCTATTTATAAAATGCTCAGGATCAAGGTGCCACACATGAAGAAAGTGGAATGAGAATAAATAAGTCACTTTCTCCTGAAAACTCAAATGTGTAAACAGCTGCGCAGTGAGACAACACACTTCCCAGTGTTAATTTTGTTCAAGAAATGATGTAATTTTGCAGCTGCCTGTATGGCYATAGGACCAAGACAAGAAAGAATCTAACAAAAGTTAAAGGTGATTGATTTTAATGACATGTAAATGCACTGCCTGTGTCACCTAAGTGATACTTTGAAACTTGGTACATTTATTTAATTTTATTAATTATATGTTTTTGTAAAGAAAATGGAATGCATTCATATCTGTGAGAATTTTGTGGGCATTTATTATTATCCTTATTATTATTATTATTTAACACAAAGGGGAAAATTGCCAATTCCTACAAGGGAAAAATTTTCACRTAAAACCAGTCATTATTGACAATAAGGAATATAATTAATATGACTCTGAAGCCTGGATTAAATGGAAGAAAARTGACAGAAAAATTATAAGTCAGTCATTATACAAGCAAGGCAAGATTCTAAGAAATAACTCCCTCTCCGAGACGTGGCATACCTGTGAGGACATCCTTGCACCGTGCGCCGCTCACGTGCTCCTTGCCCGTCTGGGGGTCTGTCTTCTTGAGCAAGTTCACTACCTCCATGTAATTGGCTGTGGCAGCCCCATACCTGGCAGCAGTGAGAGCAATGGCAAGGTTCATCCGTGCATCATTGTGTTGTCCTGCAGCAGGAAAAAGCATCGGGGAGGGACAGGAGTCACCTMGAGCCACAGACTGGTGGTACAGAAGTGTGTCACAACAGATATGTCACATCTGTCCCTGTCACCCAGAATATACATGATGGTTGGGCAGCTATACAGGGCACGATTTGAAAATACGTGGTCATTCTCAGTCAGGCCTTCACCTGCCACTTCAGTAAATACATTTTGTACCACAAACACGGTGAAAAATATCCCCTTCCTACAGAGCTGACATCAATTATCTGAAAGTTAAGAAATAACTAATTACTCTCTCCATGTGGGAACAGATGTATATGTCAGACTTTTCCTAATACAGAAAAACCATAAGCATGAAAGTGAAGCAATTCAAAACTTCAGAATATTTGACACCCCAACTGGTGTTGATGAACAATTTTTATGAGTATGTGCTCTATCTAATATTCAAAATCAAGAGCTTAATCTTCCATAGAGAATCTCTCCATATTCCATAAAAGGATTTTTCTTGGTTTGAATTTTGATCAGGGCTCCTTAAAATGTAACATTTTTTTTAATCGCACATAAAAGGTAAGGAATTAAGCAGGGCAAAATTTAATTACAGAACAATTCCTACCTGTATTGTTAAAGATTTATTGCTGAAAAATCCTAGTTAAAGAAAACTAAGGGGGAGGAGAAGGGGGGAAAGATGATTAATCACTTTAAAATACTGGCATCACTGGAGACTTTTTCTATTTATTATTGCCAGTGGAGTTAACGCTGACCAGGAAGAATTACTCTACATTGCTGGGGCCAGGTTCTCTGTGCCCTGAATAATTAATTATCCAGGGATAGATGTATTGAAGCAGAGTTCAAATTCCCACACATTGGGATCGGTTCTATCAAGATAATACTGATAAAGGGATGAATTTGTAATGGATATTGTTGTTGATTTATGTTGCCAGCATACCAAACATTTAGTATAAATGGTTTATGTAAAGTTTCTTCCTTGTGATTCAGCCTGTGCACGGCTASAAGCACTACACAAGCAATCTGTTCCAGCTAAAAGGGCAAAGTTATAAAGAGAGAATCAATGACTTAAGACTCTGCCACCCCTCCCCACAAATATCTTATTCCAAAACCTCTGAATTAATACAATCAGCCAAGAATCTTCCCCCCAAAATTATATATGCCACCAAGTGAGGAACACATATTAAACCTCAACATGCAAAGTTTGTATTATTCTGGGATTAATATATTCAAAAATTAACAGGATGAGTAGGAGGGGAAAGAAAACAACAATAACAGGAGCAGCAGTTGAGCTGGGCATAGAAAGGAAGCGGAGCAATTCCTCAAGTTTCCATTTAGCATGACCCCAAAGTTGCTTAAAATAATCACAGGTATGTCTAAAACTAAGTTTAAAAAAAAAWWAAAAAAACCTTTTATTAATGCAGAGCTCCTTATTTAAAGCAGAGGTGTGCTCCATAGAGTTAAATACCCACAGTCTAAAGAAACTAAATAAAAATTCTACTAGGGATTTTCCTTTCAAGGCAATGACACAGCACTCATCTTCTGCAGTCTTTCTGGCAGATGTCTGTACAAGAATGACACACCCTCCTCAGCACCAGGCCGAGGTAAGCATTTGGTAGTACATGAAATCCAAGTCATGTTTGCTCTCAGCATAGGCATATTGTAGGGAAGCTCACCCATTTTGGGTTTGTTGACTTACAGACAGGACAAGTCTCTGGAAAGTCATGTGTAAATGAACTATTTTAAATCCTAGATGAAATTGCTGTTCCAAGGAACCAGACAGAAATTCCATTCACTAAAAAATAGATTCCTTTGTAAAGTGCCATATCTATTACACAATCACTTGGGTGTAAACTGACTTTGAAAATGTAAAATTTTCTTTTAATGCATTTTAAAAATACAAAATCTCATTACAGCATCAGTATATCATATATGCATGGCTTACACTGCAGTATAAGTATAGCTCATCAGGCTGTTGCTTCCATATTAAGAAATCTCTCCCTAATTAGCTTGTAAATCACAATACAATTTAAGGTAAAGAAGATCAACTGCAGTTTAAAATCTAAGATAAAGAAGACTCCTTTGCTCCTCATTTCTCCATATCCTCCCTCAGGAGCTGGGAGTACCTATCTTGACTTCAATGGGGAATGCTACTTATTGGTAGAGACCCCCTTTTTTTTTATTGGTTGTTAAAAACATTACAAAGCTCTTGACATATCATCTTTCATACATTTGATTCAAGTGGGTTTTGAACTCCCATTTTTACCCCAAATACAGATTGCAGAATCACATCGGTTACACAACCACGTTTTTACATAACGTAGAGACCCTTCATGATATGATCCACATCTGCCACAATTCTTCTACTCCCAGTATTCTTGGATCCAGGATTGCCAAATTATTTGTGATTCCCTGAACTTTCAGGCCATTGTACACTTCTTAACTTTGCCCACACTTATTATTTGTATTCTGGCTGAGTGCCATTCTGGAAACCTCGGTTTGTCTCTTATGATCTGGATCAAATATCTCACCATGAAGTCTCACCTTATCTGCATCCTGCCCCTTCCAAGGCAAAATTGTTCACTGCTTCTGCATCGGMATTATTCTTGCACATACCTTTTTAATAAACTTTCCAATACTACATTTATCTGTAAATCCATTTGCTTGCAAAAATAATTAACCTTTGTCATGAACTGAGTGCTATGATAAATTCAGGGAACACGATGGTGAGAAAGACACAGGGCAGCCTCAACCCAATGGAACTTACTTCCCATTGCATTGTAGGAGTCCACGTCTCAGGGGATGGTAGCAAACTCACTTTAATTTGCTCTTTTCCTCTCTCTCTCTCTCTCTCTCTCTCTCTCTCTCTCTCTCTCTCTCTCTCTCTCTCTCTCTCTCTCCTCTCATTAGTACCAGGCATTGAATAGATACCCAATAAGTGCTGAGTTTAGCCAAATGCTATTCAATATGTTAGAGAAACAGATAAAGAAATTCTTACCTCCAACTATGGAATGAAATGCCTTGTGCTAAAGAAATGCTAAAGAAATTTCAGACATCTGAAAGTTGGTGGCAAGACATCTGAAGAGTATATAGAAATCCCCCAAATGTGGAAAATCTGAAACATCACCCCAAACTAGCTCTTATATATAGGATGAATGAATGGGAGGGAGATAGGGTTTCCTCAAGACTTTCACCAAAGCTTCCCCTTGCTCTGCAGCTACGATTATCTTCTAAAAATTGAGGAGTAATCTGCCACCTTCTGAGACCAGAAGTTCACATCTCAATCCAGCAATCCTCTTCTTTCCAGACATTCACTTTAACCATTTACCTCCTTGGATTGAGGGCAAAGCTCCCTCCTTCCTCAACCTCCTGAACCTTGCCATTCACCATGAGATACCTAGACCCCAGACACTTGCAGTGTATGCTTCCTGGAATATAAGTGAGATATTTTCATTATTCTTAACTAAATTTTTCTCAACCTCCTTCCTGACATTTTGAAAGGTATCTCTATGCCTCTTGTAATTTATTTCTGGAGAAAAAAACCTTTTTGACAACACTTCATGTCATTGGAATGTGATACAATAATCTCAAAACTCCACCCAATTGATCTGCTTATGAAGTTTAGATTTTCAAATCCGTTTCCTTAGAGCCAGGCAACATTATACTGTGTTTCACTGATCAGCGAGTAGCTTTACATTGGCACTTACACAAGGACCCAGACGGCGACTGTGAAAATCTGTTTCCTGCTCTGTTCTCGTTTGCACTTGAAATCTTACATATGTGCACATACTGAGCTTACAGCTCATAGGGGAGGAAGCACATAAGAGGTGGAACTATAACTGTTTTCCCTTGTTTAGAAAAACAAAATATAAAATCTACCCACCCAAAAGAATAAAGGTTGGTGGTAGTAGAGAAGATTTTGTCTTAACTCTCAATGGCCTGGAACACAGAACAGGGATAGGTATTTTAAGTGACATATGTGTGACCATGCGTATTTCAGGATGTAACCATCTAAAAGATAGGTCTTACATATAAATATTTTGAAGACATAGCAATATTGCTCTCCTTGGAGTCAAAGTTTGGCAACTAAGTTAACATGCAAAATAGCTAGAAAAAAATGAGTAATGATGATTGAATGTGTAAAGGGTATGAAGAAAGAGTAATGTGGAAAAAATAGGTAACAAATTAGCTGGAATTTTCATTTCCTTCAGGTCTAAAGTTCTGTGGTGCTATGAAAATGTACATATAATCTTCCTCTAAATACAGTATACATTTAAATGGCCTTTCACTACATACAGACCAATCTACTATTTGCCTCCCAGTATAGAAATTCTAATTGTTAGGAAAAAATACTTCTTCATTAAAATAACACCTGCCCACAATTTCATATTTGATAAAAACCAGCACTTTGCAATGTTAAGAATACTTCCTTCATTTCACTGTGCTCTGACCTGGGTCTTATGTAATCACCTTGACTACTTCTAGCAAAGGGGGAAAGGATGCTCGTGAGAAATGATATCTCTGTAAAACTTTAATCCCATTTCTAACAAAATCCACAAGGAATGTTTCACTGTTTCAGACTGATAATGTCACAGTGACCTCTCTGGCAGCTTCCCCTTTGTAGTCTGGCAAAGGTAATTCCAAGGCTAATCTACCAAACTCAAGCTCATTGAATAAAACCACTGCATTTAAATTTTTCCTTTATCATGGGAAAAGTACAGGCAGAAGCAGGGCAACATAAGCATGTGCACGTGTATATGTGTATGTGTATGTGTAAAGAGATTATTCAATTCTGTTTTAAGTATATATAATGAGTAAGCTTGAAAAAGAAAACTCAAGATGAGAACATAGTCTTCAAAGTAAATTATGACAACATGTAATTTCCAAAAGTGTTGTTGATGGTGGTGGTTTTTGGCAGCCTTGTGCATGCTAGGCAAGTGCTCTACCACYAAGCCACATCCCCAGGTAAAAATATTTATTATATAAGGAGTGACAAGGGT